TAAACCTTTTGCCCACATTAATTCATTTAATTGTCACAACAACTTTATGAGGCTCAGAGAGGTTAACTGATGTTTAACATAAAACAGATCTACTATGTTCAGAGCTTGATTTTAAACCAGACAGCCTGGCTTCAGAGCCTGCCTGGTTAGTTTAGCCTACACTTTTCAGAAACTGAAGACATGGATACAGACCATCCTCAAAGAAGTAGGCCTGGGACTTGCCTCTTCTTACTCTCTTCCTTCTCAATTCCCTGACCTTTTAGCTGAAAGAAACTTCCTGAGGAGAGACATCTATCAGCCAGAGCCACCAACTTATAGCATGCCAGAAGTCAGCTAAATTCTCCCCATAACTGATAGAGCAGCAGCACTCTGTGATATCCCTAATCTCACTGTCCTATTGTAGGATTTTTCTCAGCCTATAGCAATTCTCTCTCTGGGTCAGTAAGTCAACTGAACATTCAAAAATCAGTCCCCAAAAAGACTTCTCTGCTAAAACTCTTTTCTCACCCCTGGGGGCTCTCCTTTGAGATGCTGAAATCCCAGTTAGGGAGTCATCACCATAAGTAATGCATCAGGCTTTCTCTGAGAATCCATAAAGCAAGTAGAAGCTCGAAAGGGTCCATCCCCCCCCACCCCCATCCCAGTTCATAATTGGGTAATGTGATTAATCCTTTGATCTGCCATTCTGAAGAACAGCCCAGAGTTAAGAGTCAGTAATTACTGAATACTGAATAGGTACATGAATAACCAAAATGTACCCATGCTTTGAGTTGCTATAGCACCTTAATTCCCACAATCTTTACTCACTTTGAGTTTAAAGGTCCACTGTAACATAAGTGCAGCAGAGGGCTGGGAAATAGGAAGCCCAATTTTCATAAAGACATGAGTGACTAAAACCCAGAATGTTCATGAGCTTGTTCATAATTACATGAATCAATTCAGTCAACATTTATTAACATTTATTATTTACTGTGTGTCAGGCACAGTGCTAAGAACACAGTGCTAAGGTATTTTAAAAAGTTTATTATCTAACTGGAGAAATAAACATATAAAAAGTCAATTATCTTTAATAAAAAGAATGAGAGACAGGTGTTAAGAACCCATAAGAAAGAGAAGAAACATACTCTCCATGGGGTGGAGGATAAATGGCAGATCTGGGAAGGCCGCCTAGAGGAAGTGACCTTTGAGTTGAGTCTTGCAAGTTGAGGAAGATTTTTTTTTTTCCCCCAGAGAGAAGGGGGCAGCTCAGGCAAAGGGACAAAGGGACCAGTATGCAAAACGGCACCAGTATTCACTGTATCTTATCTCCCACACTTCTGCTGCACTTCATTCAGGCATGAAGTCAGCGGTATATACAGGGAAGCATGGGCCAGGTATTAAAGGGCCTTGTACACTATGCTAAGGAAACTGGACTCTATCCTGTATCCTACACCCAGGAAGGCAACTTGGTAAGCTTTTAAAGAGATGTCCATTGTGAGCATATTTGTACTTCCGAAAGCCCATCGAGCAGTGAGAATGAGGCTGGATTAGGGAAGAGGAGCAACAGTTGAGAAGCCTTTGTGAGGGCAGAGGTGAGGATGACCTGCCTCAGGCACTTAGAGTGGACTGAAAAGGAGGGTCCAACCAGTTGCTTTGTAGACATTTCAGAAGGCTTCTGATGATGTGTGGGGAACAGGGGAGAAGGAGAAGAGACTGACAGGAATGGGGATGTGTGGGTGATGATGCCCTCAGCTGAGGAGGGGGAAGCATATCTGAGGGAACCGGAGAAAGCAGAAATGGAACTAAATTGCTGTGTGTTTACCATGTGCCAGGGGCTGTCCCCGCATTTCCTTACATCCCATGCCAACTCTATATCACAAGGGCAATCAGCTCAAGTTAGCACATAAAGGAATTGAGCTCAAAGTGGTTAAAGGGTACACTCAGGGCGTCACAGTGCCAGCTGTTCTCACCAAGCCTGTGCTCTTGATGTCTCCATGCCCCAGCTTAGGATTTTACTTTTTGAAAGAGGTTTGGCTCACAATAAGCAGATTTATTCTACATTTTCTCCTTCTTGCCTAAGGATTAGAATAT